AGGATGGTCTCGATCTCTTGACCTCGTGATCCACCCGCCTCGGCCTCCCAAAGTGCTGGGTTTACAGGCTTGAGCCACCGCGCCCAGCCCTAAACTATATTTTTTAATGCTAACTTTAATACCTCATCTTTTTTTGGTATTGACCATGACTTATATTGCTATTGACTGTCTTGAGAGTAACACTATTCTAATAGGATAGCTCGCTTAGTTTTTTCCAAATATTCTTAGGTGATGTTTGAACATTTGCATATGTCTTCTTTGTCAGCTTGTTATATTGGAAATGTATGTGTGTTTCCCTTTTTTATCAAATAGCTGTTATCATCTAAAGGCATTCTTTGCTTTTTTAAAATTTGTTTATTTATTTTATGCATATGTGTATGCTTCTGTTTTACTCTTGGTATCATGCTGGCACTGGTTTACTTTGACACTGTTAAGCAGATATTAAGCAGTTTATTGTCAAATCTTCTATAGTGAAATGATCCTGACCTTCAAAATAGGTCAGTTTACATGACTTGTGGTTTTGCTGTTATTTTTCTGTCGTCCAAGGAAAGAGGCTCAGTAAAACATTGTATCTGTTCCTAAAGACTGCCTATTGCAATAGCTCTTTATAATTAATACATTCCTCAATTGTGACTTACCCGTCCCTGTCTTACAGGCCAAACTTCCAGATTTGCAACCATTTCCTTCTCCAGATGGTGACACAGTGACCCAACATGAGGAACTGGTCTGGATGCCTGGAGTTAATGACTGTGACCTCCTTATGTACTTGAGAGCAGCAAGGTAATAGGAATCTACCCCATCCTGCTTTCTGAATTAGGCCATCTGAACTGATTATAGGCAGTAAACATTCCCTCTCCCCAGGGATTTTATTTCTATATTGGGCATTCTCTGACTTTAATTTTGGTTACACCCTCTGTAATCAGGGTCCTGGCTCTACGTACCAGAGAAAAATAGTTTATCATGATGAAGTAATTTTTTTCTTGCCAGTGTTTGCCCCACATCAAATTTTGGAACTTTTCAAGAGGAAAACAGCTTAAGCCATATATGCAGTTCAAAACCTCTCAATCCAGTGGAGTACTTGAGTTATTCAGCTCATCTTTTTTTTTTTTTTTTTTTTTGAGACGGAGTTTCGCTCTTGTTACCCAGGCTGGAGTGCAATGGAGTATATATATACATACATATGTACACACACATACATACACATATATATATATATATATATTTTTTTTTTTTAACAGGGTCTTGCTGTGTCACCCAGGCTGGAGTACAGTGGCCTAGTTGTAGCTCACTGCAGCCTTAACCTCCTGAGCTTGCTGAGCAGCTAGGATTACAGACATGTGCCACCACGCCTGGCTATTTCTAATTTTTTTTTTTGGTAGAGATGGGGTCTTGCTATGTTGCCCCAGTTACCTGGCTGTTTTCTAGTCAATGGCATTGTGCATGGTGACATTCAGTATAGATGAGAATGTGTAAGTGGAGTGAATGACTAAGAGGTTTTATCTCTGATTTTTCACGATTTTTTTTTAAGACAGGTTCTCAAGCTGGAGTGCAGTGATGTAATCATGACTCACTACAGCCTCAACTTCCTGGGCTCAAGTGATCTTCCCACCTCATCCTCCCCAATAGCTAGGACTGCAGGCATGTGCCACCACACCTGGCTAATAATAGTTTTTTAAATTTTTGTGGAGATGGTGTCTCCCTATGTTGCCAGGGCTGATTCTGAATTCCTGGCCTCAAACAATCCTCCTGCATCAGGCTCCCTAAGTACTGGGATTATAGGCATGAGCCATCACACCTAGCAGTGATTTTTAAAATTTTTAATTCACCTAAATGTAGTTGATATGCAGAATGAGAGGAATTAAGTAAATTTTTGGATGACTTAATTTCACATGTTTTCTGGAGACTTTTCTTTCAGAAGATTGTCATCTAGTGAAATATTGTGGCTCATAGATTTAGGCTCTTCATGCTATCAAATCTAAAATCTTAGTACTGTTAAAGCATGGGAAGAAACAATACAAATGGATCTGACTGAAAGTAACATTTGTCTTTCTGCATGAGTGAGAGGAAATTAAATTTTATTTTTGGGCCGGGCATGGTGGCTCATGCCTGTAATCCCAGCACTTTGGGAGGCTAAGGCAGGCAGATCACCTGAGGTCAGAAGTTCGAGACCAGCCTGACCAACATGGCGAAACCCCATCTCTACTAAAAATACAAAAAATAGCTGGGCATGATATAAAGTGCCTTAATCTCAGCTACTCGGGAGGCTGAGGGAGGAGAATCCTTTGAACCCGGGAGGTGGAGGTTGCAGTGAGCCGAGATTGCACCACTGCAGTCCAGCCTAGGCAACAGAGTGAGACTCCAGCTCAAAAAAATGTATATATATTATTGGCCGGGCGCGGTGGCTCACGCCTGTAATCCCAGCACTTTGGGAGGCCGAAGCGGGTGGATCACGAGGTCAAGAGATCAAGACCATCCTGGCCAACATAGTGAAACCCCATCTCTACTAAAAATACAAAAAAATGACCCGGGCGTGGTGGCACGCACCTGTGGTCCTAGCTACTTGTGAGGCTGAGACAGAAGAATCGCTTGAACCCAGGAGGCGGAGGTTACAGTGAGCTGAGGTTGCGCCACTGCACTCCAGCCTGGTGACAGAGCAAGACTCCGTCTCAAAAAAAGAAAAAAAGAATATATATATATATAATTTATTTTTAAACAGGAGAGGAGGCAGGGCTGGGAAGTGGTTCATCATGCATATTGAAATGGAATTTTGGTCTGGGCTGGAAATGTGCTCTGAAAATTGAAGGTAAGTCTGTGTCCTGATTTTACTATGTACTAATGAAGGAAAAACCTTTTCTTCTGAAGGAGCATGGCGGCATTTGCTGGGATGTGTGACGGAGGCTCTACGGAAGATGGCTGTGTCGCAGCTTCTCGGGATGACACCACTCTGAATGCACTGAATACAGTAAGTCTTTTGAAGTCACTGTGGTGGGAAGACACTGCTTTTTCCCCTGAACTGGCTGTTGGGTGCCATGGTGGCCTCAGGCCAGTGATATGGCACCTCCAGGTTCATTTCCTAATCTGTGTCTGTGCTGCAGGTTTGTGATGACTCTCAAATGAGATCTTAATAATAGTGCTTGATACTTACAGAGGCCTCGCAAAGCCAAGTACTGTGCATAGAAGAGCTTGCTTAATCCTCGAAACCCCCGTCTGGGTTCTATTATTATCACCTTTTTAGACATAAGGAAGTAAGTTTAGAGAGATTAAGTCACAATTTAAGGTCATATACCCTTAAGACTGGAATCTAGAAGCCATGTTTTTGTACTTCACTGTTTCTAAGACCATGTATTTATTTCAAAGTACATGGAAGGATGGGAAGAACCTAGACTTTTTTACATAAACTTGTTTTTTATAAAGTATACTTTGGAACATGTTAATATTTTACATGACTATAAAAATAAGTTTTAAAAGAATAATTTCTAAAAAATTAAAAGTGAAATGAAATAAATAAGGCTAATGTTATTGATTGGTTGCATGACACACCGTCATAATTACTCATCTGCTTTAATCCCATAATAAATACACAGCAGCTCAAATAACAACACAGTGCTGCAAACAATATGATTACTGAAACCACTTGTCTTTCATTCTCTTTTGTTTGTTTTATTTTTAGACTTCCTTTTGCTGTATAGGAACACTGATGTATTTTAAAGTTACATGAAATAATTCCTCTCTATCATAACTAATGTAAAACTATTAAATCTGAAGAGGTAATGATATTTATGGAATCAATTTCTGATATATTAATAGTCTGCGTGTTTGTGTGTGTGTATGTAGGCTGTTGTGTATGTGGCTGAGCACCTCTTAAAGTGATTAACCGAATGTCATTTAAGCACCCCTTTGTTTTTTTGTTTTTTTCTTGAGAGTTCACTACAGTTGGAATAGACTTTCAAGATCATCTGCCCCAGTCTCTAAATAGATAAGAATCCAAGGCTTAAAAAGGCCAGATGACTTAAATACTGACAACCCCAAAAGCTCCTAACAGAGAGAAGAAAGTAATTCTCATTCCTGATTTAGCGATGTTTTCACTACACGGTTTCTACTACACAGCTTGCTTTTGAGGAAACATGTAGATATCTGCATGATATGGTTGATTTTTATTCCTAGTATAATTAGGTTTCTTGAGTATGATACAACATTTGAGTGGTTTTCCTTGGGATATGCCATTCTCTAAATAAGAGAATGTTTTTTCACATTGTCATAATAATGTATGTTTGTGTACATTCTCACTGATTTGATAGGATAGTTAGTGGGGTTTTTTTGTTTGTTTGTTTGTTTAAATACAGAATCTTTCTTCTGAGCATATGATTGAGCCAGAAGGGGCCTTTGAGTTTATTTTACAGATGAGCAAGCTGAAACTTAGAGGTTGATGATACTACTGCCAAGTAGAGGCTGTGGTAGGTTAAATATGAATGTCTGTGAATTCAGAGTACTTTAAAAGTGTGTGTACAAAGAGAAAGTCTTTGATAGGAACTTTTTTCTGTTGTTGTTTGTTGTTTTTTCTTGAGACCTCCCAGGGTCAAACTATCCTTTCACTTCAGCTTCCTGAGTAGCCGTAGTAGGGATTACAGGCAGGCAATATAGGCATGCACCATCATGCTTGGCTAATTTTTTTTAAAAAATTTGTGTAGTGAATATTGCCCAAGCTAGTCTCGAACTCCTGGACTCAAGTGATCCTCCTGCCTCGGCCTCCCAAAGTGCTGGGATTATAGGCCCATGCCACTGCATCTGGCCTTTTTAAAGTGTAATTTTTTTTAATAGCGACAGAGTCTTAATTATGTTGCCAGGGCTGATTTCGAACTACTGGACTCAAGTGATCCTCCTGTTTCAGACTCCCAAAGTGCTAGTATTACAGGCATGCGTCACCATGTCTGGCCAGTTGCTCTTTGTATAAAAGCTTTGTGAAAAAAATTCTGCTTTCATAACTGTGCTGTCAGTTGAAGTTTGAATAATGAAGATTTTGTCATATTTAATTAAATGTCTATTTTTGGCACTTTCCTAAAATTGTATGATTTATTCCCCTTTTTATTCTAAACTCTCTTAGAATTCTGTAGACCATATTCCTGTATAGAAATAATTTTGGCTACTTTTTCCCATGGTTCTTTTTTTTTTTT